AAGATACTTTGAATTCATGTCAAAGTCTCTACCAAGGGTTTTCCGTGCTTTAATACAGAAAAGCAGCTATAGAATTTATAGTTTGGTCAGAATGTATAAGATAGAATTAGAGACAAATTGAGTACATCATTATGCCCATTGCTTATATTGTCACTGAGAAACATAGTGGCAGTGTTTACTGCCCGATCATCTGTGCTGGACAGAGAAGGACAGTTATAATGAGCACACACATAAACAGGTAGCAGGTGTTTGGTTATGTACGGCCAGTTTCTCTTGTTCAGGTGTCAGATGTGGTTGCTTCCCTGCTCATTCTAGAGACACCATCAGAAGTCTGAACCCAAAGTCACGAGTTACCATTATTTCTTGATCAGAATGGAATTTAAGATTAAGCCTGTATGTTGTTTATAAAGACAAACTTTATTCTTTAAAAATATTTGTATTCATCCAGAATATACACATGAAATTATAGAAATTTTGATAGAATGCTGTCTCTAATGTTAGAGCAATTGTTCGCATACTTTTTTTTTTCAAAATGACCTTAAAATCAGATATTACAAAAATGTTTAGAATATAAAGCAAGAAAATTCAAGAACTCTGTGAGTGCTGAAATGGGAAGTGTGGGAATTAGTAGGTGCGAGTGAAAATCCAGAGGTTTAGAGTAGTACCATCAACTTTACTTCTGTTCTCCTGCCAATCATACATAACCTCCTTAGACACTCTCTCAGAAACCTTATTTTAATTGTGAAAAATCTTGGCCAAATGGAAATAATACTTTCTAGGAATAAGGAGACCTAATTTTTAACTTGCTTTTTTTCCATTCAGCTGTGGAAATATGGATCAGTCAGTGAACCAACCATCTTTTGTCCCTTATCTTGACTTCTAAGATCTTATCCTGTTTCTGGTTGTGATTTGGAATTAGAGAATTTGATTAGTGAAAAACTTTATTAGCATCAACAATAAAAAGACAAAGCCAGTAAAAATGAGCAAAAAGTAGCTGGGTGTATTGATATATGCCTATAGTCACAACTGCATGGGAGACAGACAGAGGAGGATCCTCAGTTCAAGGCCAGCCCAGGAAAAAGTTAGTGAGACTCTATCTTAAAAACAAACCTGATGTGGTTGTTCACATCTGTAATCCTAGCTACTAGGGAGGTGGAGATAGGAGGAGGATTGCAGTCCAAGGCTGGGCAAAAGTTTGAGACCTTATCTGAAAACTAATGCAAAAAGTACTGGATGCGTAGCTCAGGTGGCTTGCCTAGCAAATGCCAGACCCCAAGTCAAACCATAGTACCACAAAAAAAATTAAAAGAGTCGAACAGATATGAACAAGGATGTTCAAACAGGCAACAACCATGTTATTAGTCATAAGGGAAATCAAAATTAAAACCACAGTGAGGGGCTAGAGGAGCGGCTCAAGTGGTAGAGCCCTTGCCCAGTAAGCGCAAAGCCTTGAATTCAAACCCCAGTACCACCAGAAAACAATAAACAATAAGATACAATTTCACATGCACTAGAATAACAGTGATTAAAAATGCTGCAATACCAAATGTTAGTGAGGATGTGTAGTAATTAACTGGAGTTCTTGTGTTTTACTAGTATGAATATAAAATAGTCACAGTGGAGAACTTTTAAGCATTATCTCTCTACCCTTTGCCCCATTCCCAGGTAGTTAGCCAAAAGAAATGAAAACATATCGTCAAAAGATGTGTATAAGAATACGCATAGCAGCTTTATTCATTATAGCCAAAACATAGAAACAGCTGTCACGCTCAAAGGCAGTTCGATACAGAAATGGCAGTGCACTTATACAATTGGATTCTCAGCAACAAAAGGGAAGACTGCTGAAATACACAGCATGAATGAATCCCAGTAGTTATATTGAGAGAAAGAAGCTAGACATTTAAAAAACTTGAAAAATGACGAAAATGGAGTCAAAAAACAGGAGAAACTAATCTATGGAGATAGAAGTCAGAAGGTAGTTGCCTGCAACAGAAGAGCTGTTAACTAAAAAGGGGAAAGTTCTAGATTGGTATATATGTTTTATATCTTGTTTTGGGTATGAATTACATGGATTTATACATTTATCAAAACTCATTGAAGCCGGGCACCAGTGCTCATACCTGTGATCCTAGCTATTCAGGAGGCAGAGATCAGGAGGATCGGAGTTTGAAGCCAGCCCCAGGCGAATAGTTCATGAGATCCTATCACGAAAAAAATCCCTTCACAAAAAAATGACTGGTGGAGTTGGTGAAGCAGGAAGAGCGCCTGCCTAGCAAGTATGAGGCCCTGGGTTTAAACCCCAGTGCTGCGCCCTCCCCCCAAAAAAAACCTCATTGAAATGAACACATAGGATATATGCATCTTATTGTGTATAAATTATACCTCAATTTTAAACATTAAGATAGTTGAATAACATGAAGTATAAAACTTAAACTCTTCCAGGTGCTCATTGAAGCTGGGCACCAGTGCTTGTGCCTATAATCTACTCAGGAGGCAGAGATCTGAATATCATGGTTTGAAGCCAGCCCAGGCAAAAACAGTTCATGAGACACTATCTCAGAAAAAAAAAAAATCACAAAAAAGGGATGGTGAGAGTGGCTCAAGGTGTAGGCCCTGAGTGCAAACTCCAGTATGGTGGGGAGAAGGATTGCACACATGGGACTGGATGTCGACCTTAAATTCTGAAGTTGGTTTACTGTCATTTCCTAAGGAGTGGGGGATTACAGATCCCAGTCTGAGGCAGGAACAGTAGGATAAGAGCTAAGGATATTCACTAGGAAGGAAACATGGGTGGGCAAGTAAGTATATGCTAGGAATTTCACTCATTTGTTAATTCTTCCTAAATATTAATGAGAATTTCTCTTTTCTATATTTAAATAATGTGTTAGAGCTGAGGAAAACATGAAGATTTTACTTCTAGGTTTATCTCACTAGTTAAGTATTTCAGTTTCTATTTCCTTATCTTGTTTAATATGTGTTTTATTTCCTAGTCACCCAGGTGTTTGTTTCCTTAAAAATGTAAGCGTACAACAGTTGGTTAGTGTTTATTACAATTGGGTTTACAGTAGGGGATTGTCAGAAATACAGATAAAGTAAGCATTATGCTTGTAGCCAACTGAAGATTTCTGCAACTACATATCATCAATAGAATATATTACCTCTTTTTTCTTTCTCTTTATTTATTTTATTAGTTACTAATTGTATAAGGGGTTTCACTGTGGTATTTCCTTAGAAGCATGTGTTGTGCTTTGATCAGATTAACCACAGTTGCTCTTTCTTTTCCCTGTCCATTCCCCTATATTTTTTTAACCCCTTAAATGGATTTCACTCAAAGCAGAAATGATTTCTCTTTGAAAACTACATTTCCCTGTCTACAGTGAAATCTGTAGTGTGCTATTCTAAACCATGCTATAGATGACCACACTGGTTCATACTTAAGAGGTAGGCATGTTAGAGGTGCATGGCTAATAAGGAATTGGCTGTATTTGCATAATAACTTCAGGAGAAAAGAATGAGGACATTTTACTATGTCCTCATAGGACCACCAGTGTTTCGGTTTACACTCAATACTTTAACCCTCAGCAAAGTAGATTTTATTTATTTACTTTGTGGTACTGGGGTTTGAACTCAGGGTCTCACACTTGCTAGGCAGACAGAATTTTCCTGGAGTCATCCTGTTTTGGATAGGAAAAGCAAATGGCATCAAGTAATTTCTCATCCAGTTTCAAATTACTGAAAATATTTTAAACTGGACATTTTAAATATATTTATGTTTTCCTAGAACAAACTGCTTTATTGATCTTATGGTATCATTATAAAAAATTTTTTATTCATTTATTCATATATGAAAAAATTTTAAAGGTTATAAAATTATTTTAATTAGAGTTTACAATGCTAGAAATTAAACCTATATTTAACTGATTTTTATTTTTCCATTTTCTTAACTAGGTCCTTTCTGATGTTGCTTGCGCATTTCTCCTGCAATTGATCTCATTCCTGTTGGCTAAACATTAAGTCCCATGACAACATTAAGTTAATGCACATGTGTTACAGCCTCGTTTACAGCACACGGACAGTATTACAGGGAAAAACCTTTCACCTGTACATTAGATGACTTAATTCCTTCTTCCATTCCTAGAAACACTACAACTTTTATAAATTATTTTATAGTCATTGTCACACCTTTGGCTTATACTACACTAAGGAACATAGTTGAGTTTTTGGAAAGTACAGGATTTATAAATTTGGTCTTTAATATACACACATATAATTACTACAATTAATGAAGCAGGAAATTGTTGGTGCATAAGATGTTTATTGTGGAATAATAATATTTCAAATATAATTATTTTTAATAATTTGGTTTAATTTTGAATATTTTTCTATCCTATAAGTTGATAATGGTTTCTTGAAGTTTATTTTATAAAGATTCATTTTACTCTTTTGTAGTACCAGTAGGATTCTAATGTTAAATTGATGTGTTGAGTTATATAAATGTTTATATTAGCATTTAAATAATGAAATATTAGGCAGTTAGTTTAGACCAACTGTTTCTGAAGTCCAGGGGCAAATGTTTTTGCTGGTTTGATGCCTCATACATTTTCAACAAAAAAAGAAGAAGCAACTATGAATTTGCTGGTTTTTTTTTTAATCTTTTCTTCATAAACTACCCCTTAGTGTCAGAACCAGATTTAAAAAGAAACTTCTTTATGGAGCAAAAGAAATCAGAATTTTTTTTCTGTGTTAAAAAAAAAGAGAAAGTATCCAGTAGTATCTGTGATGTAGTGTGTCAGTGAAGGAACCAATACTGACTTGATACAACTATTAGGATTTGCACTGCAATGAATGTTGACAGTCTTTACCATCAATAAAGTTATCATCAGGATTTTGAATGTTAGAGCATTATGTTACATGTGATTGTAGTTTTAATGTTTGTCTCTTTGAATTAAATTTGTGTCCACAGAGATGTATAGCATAATTGTTCATGTATTTATTTACAGACTACAATTTCCGTCGCAGCTCAATACATAGTCTTTCCCCTGTTAGTGCTACCCTCTCTTCTGGGACTCCCAGCCTGCTTCCTTATACTCCAAGGCCTTATTCTTATCCAGGCTGTTCCTTGTCACCAGCAATATCACTTGCTAATGGCAGCCATGTTGGACAACGACTATATGTCTCCAGTCAGGCCTCATTCTTCTGAAGAAAGTCTGTCAGCAGTAGTATGGAAATTTCTGTGTAAAGCATGCAAATTAAAATACTGTTTTATTTTAGAATCGGGTTTGCACATTTGGCTTTAGAATAATATATTTATTCCAACATACTGAACATCAGCTATAATTCAGAACAACAGTAGTAGAATTTATAAAAAGGCAAAGTTTAAAAAGTTACTCAGTGGCGTAGCAAACGACTGTTTCTTTTTAAACTTTGAGGATTTCCTCTTAAGTCCTGTGTGGGAAAAAGATACCAGTCGTTTATGTTATTTTTTTATTTTTTGTATAATAACTTCGCAAAGTAGCACTTCACAAATATTAAACTCCTTGAAGACATTGGTTATACTAGATGTGATTACCAAGGATCACTATTCTGTATTGGAGATCGGAACAATTATATAACCAAAAGCATCTAACTATTATGTAGAAAGAAATGATGAGGCAAAAAGATTAAGATGCAAATTTTATGCAGCACTAAAGAAAAAGAAATCTACCATTGTGGTCCTTGAGAATAACTACAAATACAATTTTAGTTAATACTATTTGTTACAGATATAAATTATAATTTTGCTGTTAATATATTTAAGGTTTTTATAGTTATGCTTAACTTGTGTTTTTTGATATTCACTACATTGTTTGAATAACAAGTGTTACGGTTTTTTAATGTTGAAATCATGTGTTAAATTTTTGTACTTGAATTCAAATTCTTTGACATTAAATATGTGATGCTTTTAATATGTGTGTTTTATTTTTATTAGAAATGCACACACACACACAAAAACAGTTCTCACCAATCACTTTGACCTTTAAGAATGGCTTTCCTAACTATTTCAAAGGGTCATGTGTCAGTGTCTTCATGAGACCATTGCAGGATATTGCTAACAGAAAATTGTTAGTTTTGTAAAACATTTTTAAAAAATAATAATTTTCAGGGGTCCATAGAAATATTTTGTTGATAGACCCACTGAAGTTTCCCCCATTTTACTTACGAATAATTAATTAGTTCAGGTCATTTGACTTTTCATTAGTGTAGTATACATTGATGGTTTACAATTTGGGTTCTCATTATTGATATCAGAGGCAAAAATATTCCAGGTATCACATATAACTTTCAGTCAAGTCATTGTGCAGCTGTGCAGACAAAGCTTTGCATGCACAGAATTTGAAATTTCCTTGCAACTTAATTTTTTGAGTTTCTAGCAGAAGTTATAATTGTAAATTAATCTGTTTTGACCTCTAAAGAAGATTGATTCTATATAAATCACATGTAGTTCTTACCTTTCCAGTATACTGCTTTAGATTTTCTAACTTAAATGAGTGTGAACACTATTCTTTTTTCTTAACTACTGTAATTTTTTAAATTTTATTTTATCGTTTTTACATTTACTTACATGTATATACATTATTTGGGCCACCTCTCCCTTCTCTCCCCCCACCACCCTATTCTTAATCAGTATTATTGTTTTTCCTGACACACTGAGGTACATAGGTTTTGCAGTTTGTCACATAAATGGCTCACAGGTACATGTCACTCATTCAGAAAATATACAATGAGTGTTTATTTTTGTAAGCTGCTGTGTTGTTACCCCTGGGAGACAGAGATGACTCAGACTCTTAAGCCAGAAAAAAAAAAAATCAGACACAAATTTTTCATAGAAATGTTTGGAGTGGCCCAAATCATAATAACTACAAGTCTCTACATGACTGTTTCACTTTGGAAAACAAGCGAGAGAGCTTAATAACCACACAAAGTATTTGAAGATCTGTGGTAACACAATAGGAAATGTATAAGCTTTGGTATGAGATTTGATTACCTTTCCTGCTAAGAAACAGCGTGTTTTTTTGGTGTGACTGAAGTTTGAACTCAGCCTCACGCTTGCTAGGTAGGTACTCTTACTACTTGAGCTACTCTGCCAGCTTTGAATTTGGACAGTTTTTAATCTCTGTGAGTCATACTTTTCACCGCTGTAAAATGCTGATACACGTCTTACAATGTTAAAATTAAAAACACCTAGCCAGTAGAAGGTACTCAAATGGTAACTTACTATTTAGGAATATTTATATTCAGAGTATAGTACTGCTTTCTTTGCAGTTTTTATCCTTTTTCCCTTTAACTAGAAATACGGAAATCAGTACATTTATGTGAAGCACTGTCCCTTTGTGCAGTGGTGTGGAAGAGCAGTTAATCTTGTTCAGGTGACATGTCATTTCTTCTGTTTCGTGAGCATTAACTACTGTTTGCTGCCTTAAATTGTATAGAATGGATTAGTTAGCTATATAGTGCTGCAAATAAGAGCTAAATGTGTAAGTTAGGCATATAACAGATGGCCTTTAGACATTTTAAAAAGGTATTTTATCTCACAATAAGAAATACAAACTAAAAATTTACACAGGCAGAAATTTGAAAGTTTAATAACCTTTGGGTCAGCCCTTAAGGACATGAGTAGTCTCAGCCAGGCTCCTTGAGAACCTAAGATCTGGAAGAACACGGTTCAAGGCCAGCATAGGCAAATAGTTGACAAGACCCCCATCTCCAAAATAACCAGAGCAAAATGGGCTGGAGGTGTGTCTTAAGCAGTAGAGCACCTGCTTTGCAAGTGCAAAGCTCTTGAGTTCAAACCCCAATCCAGCCAAAAAAAAAATACTCTCATACATTTCCCATGGAATTATGAATTAGTTTAATTCATAGAACAACTTGGCAGCTGTTGTTCAATGTTACCTATCTTTTGATCCAGCAATCATACGTCTGGGATATACTTGCATGTGTATGTAATAATACATGCCAAAGGCTACTCACCATTAGGGGTCTGCTGAAGTAAGGAAATTTATCAGTTCACACTAAGAGAATGAAAACCCTCTTCCTAATAGAGATAGTTACTGGTCATTCAGTGAACAGATCAGTGCAGCTTTTCCTAATGTGTTTCTCTTCAGATTAATGTTCACTAAAAGATACTCCATTTTGTGAGAACAGATATGTATCATTTTACCTAAAATTATCATTGCACTGTGTCTGGAAGTAAAAAGGTATTTATACAGGGTGATCTCATCTACTCCCATAACTACTTGATTCTTTAATGTATTCTTACCGAGTTTTATGTCCAAATACAAGCGTATACAAGTGGTCTTCCTGTCCTCTTTACCCAAAAATAGCATACTATATTACATTTGTCAGTCTTCTTTTTCACTTTACGTGGTCTTTCTCTTAGCCTCTCTTTCCTCCCACACTCAAGTGTATTTCCAAAGGTTTTGTTATTATTGTCATTATTATTTCTTTTTGGACCTTTTTCTTCACAGGACTCTCCAGATGTCTCTTGACTAAAATTGAACATGTCTGTAACCTAGCTAACCATGTCTCATCTGCTAAGCCAATTACTAATGTTTAGTCTTTTATATTAACATGATGTTTTAGATTTTTGTCACTGTGACAACATACCTGAGAGAAACAATTTGAAAGAGGATTTCTTTTGGCTCCCAAGTTTCAGAGGTTTCAGTCCACTGTCAGCTGGCTTCATTGCTGTGGGCCTGAGGTGACGCTGAGGCCAAGACATCATGGCAGCAGAGCCAAGCTGCTCACTATGTAACAGCTGGGAAGCAGCAGGAGGAAGAGTTGGAATAAGATGTACCCTTCAGGGACACACCCCCAGTGACCTACTTCCTCCAACTAGGCTCCACGTCCTAATAGCCATTCAGCTTGGAACTCATCCATGGATTAACCCACTGATGAGGTTAGCACCCTCATGATCCAGTCACCTCTCAATAGTACCACCAGTGTTGAGGAACCAAGCCCTCAACAATGAGCCTTGGGGGTGAGGGGGAACATTTCATAACCAAACCATAGCATGTGAGATTACCTTCTTCCTTCAGGCCATTAGAGGTCAAAATCCTGATCTCCCATTAGTCACAGTCAATCACAAAACCTCCTTGTTTTACTTCCAAATGTTTCTTGGCTTTTTTTCCATTCTGTTCACTTGCCACTGACATTCCCTAGAACTGAACCAAAACATACAATTAGCAACCAGAAAAATACCTGGTTGGTAAGTAAGTAATATGAAAAGGGACAAGGAAAGAGAAGGAAGAGCCATTCCAACCCAAAGAAGGACAATACCGAAGGGCCACTGATGTCAGTGCTTCCTGTGGATTGGTTGAGGACAGCAGACCTGCATAGATAACTCCTCCATTTTTTTACCTGCTTCCTTCCCTTCCATTGGTATGGATTCCTGGACTGCTCTTTAATAAGTATTCTCAACATTAAATGCCACCTCAGAGTCTGCTGTCTAGCGGATCCTACCTATGACTCTGTACCAAGGCTGCAGAGAGAGCAAGTAATAAGATGTAGTTTTAGAGCTAGATCTCTCTCTCTGCCTGGCTGGCAACCAAGACTCCATCTCTGACAGATAGCTCCTGAGACCTGTAGATGCTGCAGTTGCTAGAATTTGCACAAAATGCTGGGTCAGGATGCTGTGCCAGTGGAGAGCAATGTACTAGCCAGGGCAAAGTATGGTGTTGGAAAAGCAGGAAGTGTGTGGGGCCCTGAGTTCAGTCCCCCACACAAGAAAAAATAAAAAGTAGGGAGGACATGCTAAGAAAAAATGGTATTTGATGGTTGCAGGTAAGTTTGATGAACTCTAAAAAATGATACTGAGCTGGGTATGGTGTTATAAGCCTGTAATCCCAATACTTTGGAGATGAGGGTAGGAGGATCTTGAGTTCAAAGCGAGCCTGAGCTACATAGCAAGACTGTCACAAACACAAATGATAATGAAAGGCTGAAAGCTTTTTATAAGACATTGAAAACCAAGTGCGAAACTAGAGGGCCCGGGCACAGAAGCCTGGATAACAGTTTATTATTGGTGAGCGTTCTTCAGTGAAATGAGATTTGAAACCCTGGCAAAAAGACAATGTGACTTCACTATGAGGATGGTCCTCAGTTGCCAGGGTGATGATGTTCAAGCTGTAATGTACAGAAGGGGAGGGAGGGAGCCAAGCTGAAAGGTGGGGGGAAGACAGTGTTTGGAGGCTCCTCCAGGGTTGTTGACCTCATTGCTGCTGCTGTTGCTCAGCCATTGCTGCAGACCTCTCTGCGGTACTGAAAGACTGCTCCCAAGACAGACTAGAAGCTTCTAAAAACAAACTTTGGGCACTCACATCCTGACTTTATTTGAATGTGTAAAATTCAATATAAGTCTGTTCTGGGCTTGCTTATCAAGTGTTTTCTTCAAGACTAACTTTTCTACAAGTACAAGCTGTCCTGGTAGGAACTGAAATCTGAGCATCAAAAGGTTGCCATAAAAATTATGTCGTAGCTGAGTACAGTGGCTCATGACTGTAATCCCAGCTACTTGGAAGGGAGAGAGGAAGGATCCAGTTTTGAGGCAGCCCAGGGAAAAAGTTAGCAAAAACCTATTTTGATAAATAAGCCAAGTATGGTGGTGTGTGCCTGTAATCACAGCTATTTAGGAGGCATAGATGGAAGGATCGTGGTCTGAGGCCAGCCCTGGGCAAAAAGAGTGAGCACCTATATAAAAACTAAAGCAAAAAGGACTGGAGGATACTCAAGTGGTAGAGTACTTGCTTAGCAAACATGAGGCTCTGAGTTCAAATCCCAGTACCACAGAAAAAGTTATTACCTCCCTACCTCTAACAGATCACCCTAAAACACATCTGAAAGTTGATCTTTTCACCTCTCCTAATATATTTTTCTTGAGAGAATGGAAGAAGGTTTAAGGTTGGC